TTAGACAGAACTTAAGAAACACCACTGGACTTGGTAAATGGACTTGAGTTTGTAATGTGCTTCTTCTGACCAATCAAAGCTCTTTAACACCGCAGGTCACACCTACACATTCACACACTGATGGTAGAGGCTGCTGAGGAAAGAGTCCATCAGCGGTAACTAATCCTATTGATAAACATTTCTGCTGACCCCAGCTTGGGGTTAAGTGACACATCGGACACCTGGCTGCAGGAGCTGGGGATCGAACCCCCAACCTTCCGGTTGAGAGACGACCGACTCTACCACTGATCCACAGCCGCCCCGCTGTCATGTTCCCTGAAGCCTCAATCTATAAACCCAAATAAAATTCACAGTTTCCTATAAGATCTCTGGTATTGTGAAAGCTCTACAGCCGTCAGTTGATCCAGAACGAACAGGGAAGTAAAGCTAAAATCACAAACGCTGCACAGAAGAACACAAACTGCAGCTCAAATATAACTCCAGCTGAAGGAGACACACACTCCAAGTAGAAAGCTTTTTATTTCCAGACTCTGGTGCCGTTTGTTTGTAGGAAGTACAGGATGGTTGAGGCCGTGAGGTCACACCGAACTGTTAATGTAGGAAGTAACAACCTCTTCCGCTCACTGTGACCTCAGAGGTCACATGGTCAACGACACGAAGTTGGTCGCCTAGCCCCCCAAAGTCCTTCCGCACACAAACATGTGAAATCCCACAAACCAATACAATTGCACACTTTTTTTCCGGTGTAAAAAAATAATTATTGGAAGTAAAAATGAGCAACATTTAGAAAACAGAGAGAATCCAAACTCCAAATTGTACATCGTCCCCCTTTAAAAGTCCTGCTGAAGACAAGGAAGTGTACTCGTTCATACAGTATGATGTTATCAAACTGATCATTTAGATGCAAACGAGTGTCAGATTTCCTGGTTAGATTCGACCTGCTGGATGGAGTAAAGAAAATGTCAAACAATGCCATATTTCCTGTTTCTGATCAGATGACGGATGACGAGACGGAAACAAATCAACTTCCTGGTTTTAATCTGATCTACGGATACAGTAGGAACAGGTGAAGGAAGAGGGGGGTAAAGGTCATTTAAATTTTGACATTTAAGTGTGTCAGTTTGATTGCGGAGATTTTAAAATGTGCTGGGGACGTTTTTGCCCTTAACTCTGACTTCCAGGGAGGCACTTCCTCCAAGGCTGCACGCTGACGATCAATCCTTCAGTTTGTAGTTTGACAACTTCCAACACTGCAAAACTGTAAACTACACAACCTGCCAAACTCAACTCAGGGGGAAAACAATCATATATACAATCAATGGACAACAGCGGACAAAATCCAGGTACACTGAGGAGCTGGAGCACAGGCTTTTTTAATTTTCTGTCTCTTCAAAAAGATCCATGTTTACATCACCTGACAACAACAGAGAACCATGAGAAACAACCCGAGTTCATCCTGAAAACGTTCACTTTAACTTTTATGCCGTCCAGCCTCAAACAAATCAACATTTTCTTTTATTCCCTTTCAAGAAAAAACTATTCAACTCTAGTGTTCCTGCTAAAATCACGAGTTAGGCAATACTTTGCTCAGTTAAAAACAAATGAATCATTGCAGCTCACAGGGTTACAAGTCGTTCATACTTTTATTATCAGAGCATTTAACTGATGTGTAGGTGGGTCGAGCCTCATTACAGCACTCATAATCCCTCTCTTTCTCTCTCTCTATTCACTTCTCTACCTGGCCTTGGTAACCGTGGAAACCAGTGTATCTGAGGACTCGCATCACCTGGACGTCAAAGGAAGGAGCTGAAATTATGGCTGAAGTGTAATCATTTTTGGATCTGCAGATTCATTTTACCTTTTTTTTTTTTATCTCTGATTATTTTTCTCCTGATAACACTTTTTTTTTTAAAAAACTTTTTGACACTTCTAAGATTTCTTGATGTTTTTTAAGACCTGATGTGGTAGCCACATGTCCAATGTGTCCTTGGGCAAGACACTTAACCCCGAGTTGCTCCTGCTGCTTTGTCGGCGGCAGCGTATGGATGTGTATGAATGGACGAGTTGATACTGATGGTCAGAAGACAAGAAAAGAAATATACAAGCTCAAGTCCAGTTTCCATTTAAGAGGTATGGGACTGAAGATGAAAGGTGAAATGTATTATATATAATAATATGATCAAAAACAATACTCCCACTCGCCCCATGTACAGAGGTTACGGTCCTCGTGGGTTTGAATCCGGCCCCTGCACGTCGTACCCCGCCCCAAAAGATACAACTTTAAAAAACAAAACATAAAGAAACATACTTCTTCTTTTTAAAGATATTTATGTTTCATTTCATGGGGACCTTAAAAAAAGTGAAAAGTGTAAACTTAACTTAAAAATAAAACTAGAACAAAATTCTTTATGTTATTTTTCACATCCAACAGACAACGAACAACACAACTATCCATCTGATTGTTTCTGCCAAGAGTATAAATCCAACACTCTCTCTTTCTTTTTTAGCTGCTTTTAGTCTTAACCAAGTTTCGGCCTCCCACACTGCCTAAAACTCTGACAATAATCCGACTCCATAATCAATTAGCCTTCAGAAATAAATAAGATATATTATCATGTGACCATAAAAAACAGTGTGCTGTTATTCCTAGTTATAAAAATGTCAGATATCAATGTTTTAGGGAGGGAGAGTCACAATGACATATTTAAAATGCTATCAAAAAAACTATGAGCTCAATAGGATTAAAAAAAAAACCTGATGAGGTAACCACAGTAAAGAGTTTATCACACCCTCCACGCTGGGACTGCTGTGTTGTGTGTTTGTATGAGTGAAGGTGGTCAATGTGGCGACTTGCGAGGGCCGGGGGGGGACTTCCCTACACCACTACAACCCCCAGTGGAGATGACATAACAGCAGTCATTTCCAACCTGAACCTTCAAACTCCCCACAGACGGAGCTCACGGCTTCACCGTGTGGACACAAAAGCAGGAAGGAGTAAATTCCACTGATGATGTCATTCTGTAGGCCAAACTGGAGCCCACCTTTTTCCCTCATAGAGGAGCTTCCTGCTGGGATTTGAGATCAGTTCAGAAAAGTATCAGGTAGCTGTGATAATTAAGCAGCAAGCAGCAGGGAGGGAAAGTACCTCAGTGTGTTTACTCAAAGTCTCAAATGTTTCCAAGACAAACATTTGCAGTCTCCAGCTTAAGGACATCACTTTGGGAAAGACACATATCATCCCAACCCTCTCCTCCCAATTGTCTCTCTTCAGCTATCATGTCCAAATAGAGCAATAAAATGCACCAAAAACATTTTTACTCTAAAGACAAAGATTCTAAAGATTACTGTCATAAAAGAAGAGTTTCAAAAGAAGATTCACAGAGTTATGAAACATGAGTCTTGCTCTCTCTCAACCTGTGAGGTTTATCTATCAGACATTAAACACAGGAAGAGCAGATGAGTCGACAGTAAACAAACCAACCCGCCCTGAAGATCCTCCAATTCAACACAAAGCTGTGAAATAGGAGGTAAGGAGCGCAGACACAGCAACACCAACACCAACCAGGAAGTGGCATTCCCTGAGGAAAAAGACCTTTTCCTCTAAATAAGAGACGTGGAAGGTAAGGTAGGTCCAGAGCGTCAATCAACCAGCCAATCAGTGAAAAGATGGAGAGGTAATAACAAGAGTCACCAGCACAATCTCAGATCATCTGTTGTGTAATAAAGATGAACCTATAGGTGCAGTGTGTGTGCAGCTATGTTTGTGTGTGACTGTGTGCTGGTGGAGGAGTGGGAAATGTGTGTGGTACAGTCCAACAGGTGGCATGTCAGTCAGAGCGCTAAACCAGTAGATGGTGGGAGATAAAGCCTGAGAACAGATGTCTGAACGTGAAGCCTGAGAATCAGCTCGTTTACTCCAACACTAAACTAAAGTGGTAAAACGAAATAGCAGCCAGATCATGATGAAAGGCAGATATTGAATTTTTTTCTCACAAGATGTTACGTTGTCCTAGCGATGCTCTTCCTAAGTCCCGCCCTTTTACGTTCTCTACTCCAGTAGCAGTCGAGCAAATTGTCAGGAAGGAGAAAATGTGCAAAAGTCTTTTTTACTTGTTTATACATGTTAACATGTTTAAAGTCTGTGTATTTTATGTTTGTTCTACAAGAGAAGACTGTTATTCTCACCAGATCAAATTTAAGTCATCAAAAAAAATCCTCAAGTATATGAAATTAAGCTCCAAAATCAGGAACAATGAAGCAGTCATCTCTGCTCCGGGATGCTGTTGACGTGTTCGCTGAATGCACACTCCATTAGGCATTAAGTGCAATTCAAATTCTTCAGATTCTGGCATCAAAGGGAAGATGCACTTTGCAAAGTGAAGGTCTCGCTCGCTAGCAAAACTGCAGACTGTGAAGCGGAAACTCGCAGTAACGTCCCGATTGAGCAGGTGAAACGAAGATGCTGAACTTTCAATCCCCCTGCACTGTAAGAGTACAAAGCGCCCCACTAGAGAAAACAAGGTAGTAAGAAGAGAAAGGGTCCACAGTGGGAATGAATTTAAAAAAGAGTACTTAGCTAGCTATATGTTGATTTGACACATTCAGTTCACAAAGGCTTTGACATGAAGGAGAGTTCAGGATCTCATGTTTTCAAGGATAAAAGGAGGCGGAGCCACAAGTCAGACTGGAACCCAGGACGCCCGGTTGGAGGACTGTATCCACCGTACACGGGGCACCACCTAACCGCTAGGCCAGTGGTCATCAACTGGCGGCCAGCAGCCAGAATCTGTCTCCCCAAAGCTTCCCATCGGGCTTGACAGCTATCAGGCTTATGTGCAAACATAGTCCGGTCCCCACAGTGTCTTTTAAGCCCTTTTAAAAAAGTTGATGACCCCCTTCCCGAGGTCATCTGTGTTCCAATACAATTTAATATTTGTAAAGTTTTCCAGCGTAAAATCTACCAGCCCAGAACTTCTAGAAAAAAAAGTCTTCAGACGTACCTTTTGGTCCACGATGGAGCAGACGAGCTCCCTCACAGCGGACAGCGAGTGGTCTCCGGGTTCAAGTGTGACCGTCTCCCTGGTCAGTCCGATCTGCACCAGAAAGGAGACCCCGAGGATGGACCCCCGGGAGTTGGTGGGGCTGGGAGCGGTCTGGCTGCCGTTAGACAGCCGGCTGCAGAGGGTGGCGGGCGGGCTGGGGGACGGCGACGGGGTCGGCGGAGAGGCATTCTGAGGGAGTGCGGAGAAAGACCGCGGGGAGGCCGGCGGCAGGGGCGGGCTGTTCTCGGCAGACATCGGCTGCTATCTGTGACGTCGTCCGGGGCAGGAGGAGGAGGACGTCCCGGGACGTTAAGAACATCCAAAAATGATCTCAGAATGCTCAAAAGGCGTATTAATCAGGCGAGCATCTCCCGGCGCCTTGTTTGTCTCGAATCACTAAAATCCTGCAAGAAAGGTTTCTCCTGACTGTTGAGCATCTCTGAGGTAAAAGCAACAACAACAGAAGTGACGCTGAGGGCCAAGATCTGACAAGTCCCCCCCCCCCTGCTGCATGAAGCTGTGGATCGTGATGTTAGCAGAAACACATCCAGGAAACTCTGCAGATGTTCTGTTTCATCTTCCTGTCTTCACAGGGTTCATCTGTTGAGAATAAAAGACGACATATTAGAGAAGAGTGTTGTAATTATTCAAAACATTCTGGTGTCCCTTTAACACAACTTAGTTTGACTTGTTATATAGAATAAGCAAAACATAAAAATACTGAACACATTCACCTTTCACCTGCAAGAAGACAACCAATCTGTTGTCCCTGGATTAAAGGAGAAGATATTTGATCTATACAAGGAGGCAAACGTCAATCAGCGTTCTTTTCAAAAGGCAAAGGGGACGTGCAAAAATGTCTCGATTTGTACACGACCCAGAAAATGTTCTTGTTTAAGAAGCTACCTAGAATCTACCTGGGAGGAGAGAGAGTGGGGGGGGGGGGGGGGTGACATTCAGCAAAGAGTCGAGGTTGGATATGAAACAACAGCCACAGCGACGAGGACTAAAGCTTCCATACATGGGGAATGTGTCAAATGTTTGATGCATGAGTGCTTACAGCTTGAGTAAGAATAAGAATTCAAGCCTTTTAAAAAAACAACTAAAACACTTAAACCCACTAATCAATCATCATATGAGAAAAATATGAGATAACAAATGTAAAGAGTGCATTTTAGTTTTAACTCAGTTTCTTTGTCTGTCTGCTGTTCTCCATGTTTTACAGACCACCTGTGTGTAATGTTGTAGTACTCAAAATCTTCTTGAAGGTCTCGGCCTCGTCTCGGAATCGAAAGCATTTTTACTCGTTCTTGTCTCGGTCTTTTTATCCCCCGGTTACGGCTGCAACCTTCCCGGTAATACGCTCTGAATTTGACACACACAAGTTGATGATTTTTCTGTGATTTCTCTGGTCTTCTCTCGGTCTCGCCCTGCCTTGGTCTTAAATCGGTCTCGACCCCTAAATGTCTCGGTCCCGGAGCACTCTGGTCGGTTAGTGTGGTCTTGACTACAACATGGGCTGTGTGTGAAGCCCCCCTCACTCTGACATCTCTCCATTAGTGCATGTCCTGTTTGTGCATGTGTGTGTATTTAAGTCTATGTGTGTGAAGCATGTTCAACAACAGAGTGTAAAACTGAATTCCCCAGAGGGATTCATATCTTCTTCTTCTTCTTCTTCTAAATCCCCCCAAAATAATGTTGTTTCTCTCCACTGATGTGGCACTAATTAATCCTAGAGTAGATGATAGTCAGCTTCACCTGAATGCATCAAAAAGGTGTGAAAGCATGAACATTACTCACAGGCCTCCATACAGCTGGTCAAATGTACACATGCTGAGTGAGAAAGCATCGCTTGACTACATGTAAAGTGTTTTGTTATTTCATTTATTGTGATAAATTCAGACTTTCACAATGTGTTTTTCATCACGATAACAATAAAATCCTGATGAACTGCCCAGCCCCATGCACACAGAAATATCAAAAAGTAGATGCTTTACTTATATCATTTTAGTGATGTAATTGTATTTCTCATCTATGTTTTCAAAGGGTTATACTGGGATTCAGGCAACCAGGAAAATGTTAGATTTTATATCAATAAAGCCTGTGATCATTTGTTTTAAAGGGGACATACTGTGAAAAATCCACTGTTACAGTGTGTCTGCAGCAAGTCTGAGTGAGCTGATGTGAGAACGCCGCAGGACATTCTCCGGATAATTCACCTGGAGCCAATAGGAGGGCGGAGTGAGGTTTCTATACTGTGACTTCTGCACGGTGCATAGAGTCTGCACACGACCACTACGATCTCTGTGCACGTATTTAAACGGCTGCATTGTCTTTTCTGTTCTCCAGCATGTTGTTGTCATTCTGTTGGATTACACATAGCAATGATATAAAGATAAATATTCTCATTATAGCGCCATGTAGTGGATTCTGTTGCTTCTTCTGCTACTTGTTGTTTTTTACATCATGTCTTACCTCCGGAGACCCCCTGCCCCCCCCCTTCCGTCTGACAGGGAAAGTCTCCAGGTGCTAGGTCGGGACAATCTCCACAGCAGTTCTCCAGAAATTATAGAGTGAAAACGGCTCTTGTGATGTCACAGTGGGATTCTGGTAAAAAACAAAAAAAATCCCCTCCCCTCCCCTGGTATCTCCACCTATGGACTCCAACCCCAGACTAAAGCTAAACTTTTACATGTCTGTCATTTTTATTCTCTCTACAGAGGAGTGATGTCTATGGGGAAAACTCAGGGGGCGGGGCTTATTACATTTAAAGAGACACACACACCAAAACGGAGCGTTCTGAGAGAGCTGGTTTATACAGGGTCACAAACCTCCTCTGGTGCTTGATTCATGTTATATTTTGAACAAAGCACAGCACAGATGTTTCATTTAGACCACAGAGGACTGTTTGAAAAGGTGGAGAAGGAGGATAACATGTCCTCTTTAAGTTTATCGGGCTGTTTTTAATACATATTTAAAGAAGTTGGAGACACCGTTACCTCTGAGGATTTGGGCGGGGTTTCCGTTTCCATGGAGACGGATCAAAAAAACAAACTGTTCGTTAAAGTTCCATCCTAACGGCTAGGCGAAGAGTTTCGGTCCCGTCTGGAGAAACTCCTCGGTCCCCCGTGGGTCCGGGACGGTGAAGTAGAGAAAAACAAGACAAGACTGAACAGCTACACTTTTTAAATGACTCTAAAAGTCTCCGTTGTTTCCAAAACTTCAAACTTCTTGACGGGCGTAGAGTCCGACCGAGCAGCAGCAGCTTCATGCGGATCTGATTATCAGAGAGACGAACACACACAGATACAAACCACCTATTATGCTGCGTTCAAGTGGGGTCGGATAAATCGGAAAGAGGAACTTCCCAGTTGTAAAATGCACATGAACACCTCCTCAAGTTGTAAACAACTCGGAAAAGAATTGGGTGCCCGACTTGACGTCAGAATAGTCATCACATAAGGGGCTAAATATGTTTTGTTAATGTTAAAATACTTTTTATTCATTCACGTATTGCACATCAACTTTTTCCCCACTCGCAAAAAAAACACCCGAGCAGCACTTGAATGCAGCATTACACAACGGAGAGGAGATGAGACACAAAGAGGTCTCACTCTGACGGAATTTCCAGTGACCGGACATCCAACATTTCTACACGCAAACTAACAGCAAGACTCGAAACAAGTAAAAGTACAAATTTTACACTTTGGAAAAACTCTGTTAGAAGATTGGATTTATACAATTTAAGGGAAGTGTGTCGATGTTTAAAAGTAGTTTGTGAGAGTTTTGCGTGGACTGTTTTATTATCTCTAAGTGAGTCATTGTTCCAGTCAAAGACGATCACTGCCTGGACTCTCATCAGATTATTCTGTGGCGCCCTCTCATGGTAGAAATACTTCATTACACGAAATGCAATTCAGTACATTCTTTTTATTTTAATTCATAAAAATGATTAAATCAGTGGTTTTATTTTACTTAAATTTAAAAAAAATAGCTCAATTGAAAATAGGATTTAGGCTAAGCACCAAAAGTTGAAGAAGACCTCAACCTGTCACACCAACTTTAGAGAAATAAGATTTTATTATTATTGTATTAATTAAAGTTATTGATGCATTAAAATGTTTTTCTCTTTAATGTTGCAGCTGGTCAACGTGGAGTTAATCTTCATTACTTAAAATACTTCCATGTAGTAAGTTATACATCTTCACTTTTCATTTTGTATTTATATTGAAATAAAAATTTAGCCGATGCTGATTCCGATACCGATCTTTGTTTCGTAAACTCCCACAATGCCAACATTTTCTCTCATGTTTGACAATAAAAACAGGTCAGAGTTTGTTCAACAGGTCACTTTATCATTTGACCAATAAAAAACCTCTTCTCTGAATCAGTAGTTAAGTGTACTGGATAGTCAGCACTAAATTGATTTGGCACCAACAGGGCCGATATCAGCCAATAGGCTACTGATGTTGAACTGATTCATCTGTGCATCCCTACTTTATATTTGTTGTGTTTCATGTTTGTTTGTTTCAACATTCAGTATAGTGAGAAACAAGCAAAACTAGAGGTCACAATACTTCACCAGCTTCATCATAATGACTCAGTTTGTGCCATTAACATGAGGATGAGGATTAAAGTGGTAAATTGTGGGACCTCTGTCGTGTTCCTGCTGGCTTTAAGGCAGCGATCGTCTGTTAACAGATTCTTCACACATTCATTCACTAACGTATTAACAACGTTTCAACTGTCACGTCTCATAAATATGTTGGTGAAAATGTCTCTAAACGAAGGAACACTACACCAAATCCTCTTACTGAGAAATAAATGTCAAAATAAAAAGTTCTCTATCTCGATATAACACGTCGTCTCGCCCCACTCATCATTATTTACACTCAGGTATGAAGACAAAAGGTTTTAATATCATCCAGGTGACTTTACATGTGTTATTCTAAATCAGCTGATAACTCAGAGTTTATGTAAACGTCTGTAACCTCTCCATTACAGCTCTGAACACTGTTAGAAACTATTACAAATAAAGATTATTTAAAAATAAAGATCCCTCTCAGGTAACACGGTTAATAATGACTCATCAGGTGTTTAAAGTCAGTTTCCTCTGATGACTCGTTTGAGCAGATTGAACATACACTCACGTACACGGTTAATTTTATACCGTTATGATGCCGATCTCTGTTCAGAAATGTCATATTTTAAATGTTTACATCACTGCTCATCAGATTTAGGCTCATACTTGCAGTTTTAAAGTACGGTTTTCATTTTTTAAGACTTTAAATCGGTAATGACGCCAACTTGTCCATTAACCTCCATTCATTCAGATGGAATGATTTCACCCAGAAAGGGGCGGGGCCGGCATCGTTTGGGCAAAGTACCCGGATGGGTTGCTCTCATGAATAATATGTGTATAACTGTTTCAGGAGCGCCACACTCACACAGCCCACTGGGATGTTTTCCTATAGAGTGTAAATATTGGTTTAACCCACAGTGACCCAGCCTCAGTCGAGTTATTTTAACTTTCCACAATAACTGACAGACTTCCTAATCAAAGGTTGTGGATTAAAATAATGTCTGCCTCTTTTTTTCCTTCTCCTAAAGTTTCTTTCCACTCCCACTCAAGACCTTCTTTGATTCTACTTCTGTATTCAGGTTTTACAAATGGTACCTTTACATCTATATTAATTAGATTTAAAGCTGATTTTGTAATTGAATACTTCTTCTTCTTTGGCAGCTGACATCAGAAAAGTGTCATTACTGCCATCTGCTGGATTTAAATATCCCTCAACAGACCTGTTCTCAAAAGAGATTTAAACAAGCATCTTCGGCCTCTCCCTCTTTCACCACCCTCCAAAATACTTTTCTCTTCTTACAAGTCCCTCTCTCTCTCCATTTCTGACTTCCTGTTCTGTCTATGTGTTACATACTTCCTACATTTAGTAAGTACATGTTCACCTGCTTCTGCTTGATTGCATACCTCACAAAGAGCAGATGAATGTTTTCCAGTGATATGCAGAGTACTTAACCTGGTCATTACTCCTCTCTTCTGTAGCTCCTCCCCCTCTATTTGACTTCATCTATTTCCTGCTGAACTTCCTGAATACAGAAGCTCAGCGGGTACAAACAGTAGCAGGTTTTTTTTTTTTGTTCGCTTGAACGTTTGCAATGAAGACCAGAAGAAAACATTTAGTTCATGTGAGTTTATTCAGGATGTCAAACTTCAGTTTGTTCACACATCAAATCAGTAAAGTGTGTTCAATCATTTCATGAACACATTCACTTCATCCACACAATCACTTTGTTTGATCAGAATCTCCACTCACAGAAAACAATGATTTATCTCCTTATTGATTTAATCAGGAGGATTACATTTTTAAAACACCTCAGAGGACATTTTTACATCACTTTGAATATGAACAACAACATTTATTCTGACTAACTCATTTCTTTAAGTGTGATTTTATAGATTTTCTACAAATGTACAAAGTGGTGAGAAGAGAAAATCAGCATGAAAGAAAAGTTTGCTGCTCTCTCTCTCTCTCTCTCTCTTCAGACTCCTGAATCAGAACAGAAACAACAGAAAATATAAATGTATGAAAACAAATAATCAAACATGGAGAGCAGAGAGAAGTTGATATTTATCACTCAGAGAAATGTCAGTTCAGGTGAACAAAAGTCATCCTGAGCAGTGAAAGAGTCCACGGCTAAACAGACACAGGAAGGAGTGTCACTTAAAGACACTCAAACATTTACAGAACAGACGAGAAGAGGTCAAAGTACCGCCCATAAAGTTTGATTGACAGGTGACCACGATCAGATCTCAGCAACGAGCGTGGATAAAAATCAAGTTGAAGATTTAAAACACAGCAAGTTAAACATCTGTCTCATTAATGACTTCTGTCTATTTCAGTTTACACAACTCAGCAGAGCCTCCATCACACCCATAAAACCTGAGTCCAGCATGTAGAGGCTGAGTGAATGTGGTCTGGACTCTGTGGAGGAGAGTCATGGTTTCAGAGATGCTGTAGAAGGACAGAATACCTGCTCTGTGATCCAGGTACACTCCTACTCTGGAGGACAGAGGACCTGAGACAGGAGTGCTGACATCGTTGTAATAAAAGTTATATCTGTTGAAGAAATAATCTAACACCCAAGATTTGTCATTACGTCCAAATACACACTCATTCGAACTCCCTGCTCTGCTGATATTCTTGTATGTGACTGCTACACAAACTCCTCTTCCTCTCTTCTCGACTTCCCAGTAACAACGTCCAGTCAGACTCTCTTTACTCAGGACCTGAAACATTCAGTGAATCTGTCTGGGTGACTAGAATAAGGATTGGTCTGACTCGTTAATGTTACTTTTCTGTTCCCATCAGATAATAACAGCTGTGTGTTACTGTGTTTGGATCCAGTGTGATGTCACATGAATATTTTAAGAACTCAGCTCTGGTCTTGGGCTCTGGTTCTGGTTCTGACAGTAAAACATCCACTTCAGTCACTGTCTGTGAGATGTTTGTCCATTTCTCTCTCAGGACGTCCTGTAGTTTATCTCTGACTTCTGACACAGCCGCTGTCACGTCCTCAAAGTACCTCAGAGGACGGATCTTGATGCTGGATGAGTGTGTAGATTCACTGAGTGGTGACAGTGAGGGGTAGTCGTGTAGAAACTGGTTGTGGTCCTGTGTGTGTGACAGCTTCTTCATCTCAGCGTCTCTCCTCTTCAGCTCAGTGATCTCCTGCTCCAGCTTCTCCTGAAGCTCTCTGACTCGACTCACTTCAGTTTGCTGCTGGGATCTGACCTGCTGCTTCACATCAGAGCGTCTTTTCTCCATGAGACGGATCAGCTCAGTGAACATCTTCTCACTGTTCCCCACTGTTTTATCAGCGGAGCCATTGATAGCCTCCACCTCCTGTTGGAGCAGCTTCACATCTTTCTCTCTGTCCTGGATTCTCTGCTGGATGTTTTGTCGACTCACCTCCAGCTCTCTCTGCTTCTCGCTCCTTTCTGCTGCAGCTGAGACTGTGTCATGACCTTTGTGTTCGTCCACAACAGAGATAACAGATAGACTGCTGATCAGTACGACAGAACATCTTCATCACCTCATCATGACGAGAGCAGACGTTCTCCTGGAGCTTCTTGGAGGGCTCCACCAGCTTGTGTTTCTTAAATGGAGCTGCTTCATAATGAGGCTGGAGGTGTTTCTCACAGTAAGAAGCCAGACACTGCAGACAGGACTTACAGGCTTTCAGTTTTCTCCCGGTGCAGACATCACAGGCCACATCTTCAGATCCAGCATAGCAGTGATCAGCAGGAGCAGCTTGGAGTCCAGTCTTCTTCAGCTCCTCCACTAAATCTGCCAACATGGTGTTTTTCCTCAGGTCAGGCCTCGCTGTGAAGGTCTGTCTACACTGAGGGCAGCTGTAGACTGTCTTCTCATCCTCTGTATCCCAGTGGCTTTTAATACACTTCATGCAGTAACTGTGTCCACAGGAAAGAGTCACCGGATCCTTCAGGAGATCCAGACAGATCGAACAAGAGAAGGTTTCCCGGTCCAGCTGAACTCCTTTCTGCGCCATTTCTCCTCTCGGTAACAACGACTGTCTGAGATTCACTTCCTCATAACTGAAACAAGTTTCACCTCTGATCTACAAAGCATGTGTCTGTGCATGTGACTGTGCAGCTCTTGTTGGTTACACCCATCCTCAAACTGTAGATCTAAAGGGGAGGGAACCAGGAAGTATGAGGACCGAGTGCAGCAGGCTGTGTTTGAGAGCAGGAAGAAGAGGGAGGGCTGATAGAACTACGATTCATTCCAGGAAGAGGAGCGGTTTGAGAGAGATACTTGTTTACAACAGAGAACATTTCTCAACCAGCAGTATCGTCACAATTAACCACGGTGTGGGTTGAATATTTGACCCATTCAGCTGGGTTAAACAGGTAACCCTGTGTGTTTACATGCTCCTAATTTAATCCAGCAGTGTTTAACAAAATATCAGAGTTTATCCATTCAGCTTCAGCAGTAAAACAAAGACCAAGAGGAACAAGGATTTCAGATTATGTAAATAACTAAAAAAAGATAGTAGCAATAAAAAAAGCTAAGATCAAATAAAAACACAGAACAGCAATAAAATACAGGAGGGGGGGGGTGTGAAGGTTGTTTATAATATGTTTTGATTTGTAGTTTTTACCTGCAGTTAAAGATCGTTTTGTATTAAATGGCACCTTAAATCAGATTTCCCTGAGCTGCACTTACAAGAGCTCACCAGCAGGTGTCAGTGTGGCCACAATGTGAAACAAAACTGCTCTCATTGTTCTCTGAGGGATAAGTTCTGATTTCTGATTTTACATGAAAAAAAAAAGGAAATACAAGTTTCACCTGAAAAAGGCTGCAGGAAAAAATATGCATTTGTCCTAAAGGAAGTGATTGATCTTAAGTTTAAATCATGAGCAAGTTCTCATCTTCACTTCATTTATATAAAGTAGCCTCCATAAGAAGACACACGTTCAAAGAAAAATAACTTGAATGACCAGACTCTTCTGTTTCTTGTCTCTCCAGAGAAGGTTTTTAGAAATGTAATAAGTACCTTCATGTCGACTCAGTATTCTCCCAGGTGAGTGCACACCTTCCTCCGGTTCTCTGCAGGAAGTCCAGACTCAGACTACATTTGTTCACCAGAGTCTGAAACTCTACAGGTGACATCAGCACCATGAAGTTAGATCGAAAGGTAATGAAAATATTTCAACACTCAAATGTGACATGTAGTCTGTAGTTGTCATGTAGTCCAACCGTTAGAGAGGAAAGCCCCGCCCACATCAGGTTTTCATAATGCTGCATTCAGGCTCCGTCAGACATTTTGCACTTTAACTTTGATAAATCACTTTTCAAGTTCAAACGTAAACAAGCGATAATTTCCGATTGTACCATTTCATATAATTCCTACAATCATAGTTTGGCACCAATTGAACACAAGACAAAACTGTTTATGATGTAATAAGGCGGGAAAAAGCAGAAAGTTGTAGATTAATTAGGCTACGGTAACAAATGATGTTCTCCTTTTTTTTTATAAATGCTTTAACTTCTTTTCGTTTAATCATTTCTCCTTTTTAACTTTGCTTTGATTTTAAAGGCCACATGCCAAACAAAGAGGAGAACACAGATTTGAGTCATGGTGGAATCTATCAAACTGTCAAAAGATTAAAAGCAAATGTGAATGAAAAAAATACATTTCTAAACAGTTTAACCAAAGTCCTTGAATGAATTCATTGTCAGAGGGTTTGCTTTGTTATTTTGTGATCCAATGATATTTTATCTAATCAGACATATTTCTGGTGTTTCATGTTAATCTTCTCTAAATAACAAACGTCTCTGCTGCTCTCTGATTTCACCGTCAGTCGATGTTGTTGCTCTCAGCCAGCGCAGCTCCAAGTCCTGATGTGCTCCTTCCCATGGGAAACATCTGCAGACCCTAAAAAAGCTTCACAAGTCAACACCCAGCACACATGACGGAGCTGCTGTGGAGCTCAGAAGATGAAAGAAATGCTCAGAGACTGAAGTACACATTCTTATTGGAGGAATCCTAAGGTCTAAAGGATGAGCATAGTGCAGGGCATTTTCCTTATTTAGAAAATGTCAACTTCTATGATTTCAATAGGCCTTTATTGGTCATAATGGGAAGATGATTCCCATAATATGTTACATAAAATACATTATTTAGTGAGCTGTTAAAGGAGCATGCAGCTTTGTGATGACTTGTTATGAATTGTTGAACCACTGGGGTTGGATCTCTGGTGTCTTATAAACCCATGAGTTGTCTTCAAAGATTTTAAAAGCAGCCTAAAGGACCATTTGACGACTGTATCACATGTTTCTCTGTTTAAAGCTCCTGATTGGTTCAATGATGTAATATTTGTTTATCGTCTGTCTTTTGTTCTCTGTCTGAAACTCTTGTATGCTGCTGTCTTGGCCAGGACTCTCTGGTGTTGTATCTCAAAGAGAATCTCCTCCTGGTAAAATAAATGTCAAATGAAATGAAATAAATAAAAATGAGGATTGGGCGCTTTGTAAGCATGACACATAAAAAAAGAACAATCAATCAATCAAATAGTGACGGCCAAAGGAAATTAAGCACATGATCTAAATTTGAAAGAAATCATATTAATTTGGAAAGATTCATTAAAAAAATGAGCATTAGAGACTCTTTTATAGAATAGAATAGAATAGAATAGAAATACTTTATTGATCCCAAACTGGGAAATTGAGGCGTTACAGCAGCAGGTTATCCAAACACACAATATGAGCAAAAAACACAATATAATATTAAATACAAAGTAAATAAGCACTAAAAATATCAAAACTAAGAATGAGAATATATACAACCAGGATTTAACTTAGCATTACTAGTCTAAAATAAGAAAGATTAAATGTAAATGTGCAAAAACAGAGTTGTAAATGGACAGTATTGACATAAGTTAAAGTGCATGAGTGTAGACATATTAAACATTAGACTTTATAACATTAAAGTCTCTTGTTAAAAAAACAACAAATAAGGACTTTTATTATTTATTTAGATACTCTGCGCTTTCTTCTTATTCTATTTCTATTTCTATTTTTATTCTATATTCTATTTCTTAGGGCTGGGCACGTTAAGGCGTTATTTTCACATTAACTCATTAATTAATTATCGCTGACAATTATTTTATCTCACATTAACGCAGTTTTTATTATTTATTTTCTTATTGTAAAAGTCTGTTGCTCACTGGCTTTTATTTTGTAAAATTCCATCGTGAGCGAGCCTCGTATGTTGCTTACTGCTGCGCATGTCTGCTGCGCATGTCTGCTGCGGCGCTCACAGGAAAGAGGGAACAGTGTTGCCAATTTGGCGACTTTCTCGCTAAATCTGGCGACTTTCCAAACCGCCTTGGCGACTTTTTTTGTCAACAGCTACTATCGACAAATCTAGCGACTTTTTCTGGAGTTATTGGAGACTTTTTTGGTGTAAGAAACTGACGTGAAAGCACGTATTGCTCTGCAGTTACTCAACGAGCAGCGGGTGCTGCCGTTAGCTCCTCCCCCTTCCTAAAGCATCACAGGCTGTCAGTGTAGCCTCGAGCAGCAGACCCAGCTGCAGTCAGAGAGGAGACCCACACCACTCTGTGTCCACACTGCAACCAATGCAATAAGCTTTAGTTTTGTATTTATTTGCTTTGATTACATTGTTTAAGTTGGGAAGTACATTTACAGTAAAAGTGCGCTATACACTACTTTTGAATTCATTATTGGATTTTGCGCATAACAATGCGATTAATCGCGATTAAAACTTGTAATCGTTGCCCAGCCCTACTATTTCTACATTGTGTTTGAGAGCTACTGTATTCGTCGTATGTCAGATTCTTATTGTTCCCACGGCACTTAAAGGCAACAGCGGCATACTCTTACGCAATTGGACGAGAAGTGGGAGAGAGGCGTGGCCACACCCTTTGTAACCCGACACCGGACCCATGCGCTGCGTTGACTGTAAACTTTCACCATGAGCTCCGCCAGTCGGGCTCGGCGAGCGGAGGACCGAGTGTGTCCGCTGTAACGGGACTCCCCGGTGCTCCTTATTATGTCTTATTGACCTTTTCAATCGGGATTTTTTTTACTGGACAAGTGAGAGATTAATTTAAAGTTTGTGTTGGAGTCATGGAGGCTGTTAGCAAGTGGAGCCCGCAGCAGGTGGTGGACTGGATGAGAGGTAACGGATGACTAATGTTATCTTATCAGGGGTCTCTCTCCTGCTGTGCTGTTTGATTTAACTTTTACATCATTTATCAATTATCACATTTCAAATGTTTACTTATTTATATACTAGTGTTATTATTATTTTTTAAGTGGGATGGTTTACATACTCATGACATATGAATTTGGACTGGTGTTTTGATGTTACTGGTTTGTTTGATTGTTTTCTTTTTGTTTTTATAGTTTGCTTTATGTATGTCTTTTCGTTTTGTCACGTTGGTGTTTTACTTTTGGAAAAATAAAGTACAAAATTAAATGTTACAAACTGTGAATGACCAAATACATTTATTTAATTCAATATTTCGTTTTTGGTAATTAAATTAAAAAAATTGCGACTGATTTCATTTGAAATCCACAATAATACAAAGTTAAACCTTCTATCTTTTACTTAAAATTAAACTTTTGGTTTAACAACCGTAGTAAATCCCATAAAGTATATTAACAATACATTTAGGTATAAATCCACTGTCCTGTATAATAACAAGTCATTTAAAATGGATAAACGTCATGATTTTATTTATCAGCTGTAACATTTGAGTAATAACAATATTGTTATAATAATTTCCCTCCATTTAGACATATGTTACTCTGAGACTAGTTTCTCTACTATATGTTTTGTAGTTAGGCCTGCACGATATGAGAACAATATGCGGTAACATTGTTCTGTATTGCGATAACGATTTGAAGTGCGATAAGTAAATTAATTTATTAAACTAAATCTGCAGACATCGAGTTAAAATCATGAGCTATCAAAAATTACGATTACAAACATGTCCAAACATTAATAACTGACTTTCAGTTGTTGTCCCTTTTATGCAAAAACCCTTATTTGAATTTAACTGGTTAGCAGCATTACAAAAGCAGCATTCATAAAAATCACAAATGACATCAGTTTAAACTTTAGATATCTTGTCCTTAAGCAACTTTACAGCGAGTATAAGTCCAAAAACTTGTTAGATCTTGTATTTTAATAGGTTTAAAACAGCTTCTTTACTCTTCAGACATGAGGTTGTAGCTGGTTTAATCAACACATCAGTCTGTACATAATAAAGCACTGTACTTTGATTTAACATGTAGTATAATACTTATCCCTCTGTTGTGATGGTTCCCACAACTTTTTGGTTGTTGTGAAAAACAGCCACAGTTCTACTCTTAAGGTAGTGACTGTTTGGTATGGATGTACAAAAAAAGATGGATACAGCAAAGTGTTGCGTGAATAAATCAATTTTCCTGAACTCACAGCGAAACACCTTTTGTATTGTGACCCAGGTGATCCTGCTCTAAATCCTGGCCAATAACCAAACTACTGTTCAGACTCTGTAGGGGCTGTGTTGAGGTTTTAAGCTAAGATATCCTTTAAAGTCTTTATGTGATTTTTCACTCTTAAATATAAATCAAGTCTATCCTCTGAAAATAACTCTGTGAGTCATGACTGTCTACAATGGGTGTAACACCCGAGTCCCACTGTCTGTGATGTTTTCAGAGTTTTCAGAGTCCTATCTTCACTTTGTTTACATCGCCCGGACGGCCGGCTGACTCCTCCCTCGTGTATAAAAGTTGTTTAATTGAGGGACTAGAGAAAAGAAGAATAACATACTGTACTCACTGCTTAACTGTGTTTCTAGATCACGCTCATTTCAGGTAAATTTACATGCAGTGTGAAGATACCAGCATAATAAAGATCGCTAGCATTAGCATGCTAACACAACAATGCAGCGCGAGTTGTTTTGGTTTCATGCTGGTGCTCAGCCTTTAAATGCACGGTATTTAAAATCCGCCGCCAGGCGGCTCTCAACCAAAACAATTACAAAAGATGACGTTGAGGATAGCGGGGAATCATGGGAGTTCTCTTCATATTATAAAATTACAGATTTCTCTGGCTTTGATAACTGTTTGAAATATTTGAGGTATTGTAAGTACTTAAAAAATAATATTATATAACAGATGTAGTGAATTTTTTATTATTTCAGATATTTGAATGTAAAATTGTCATAAAATTTTACATATTAAAAGTATGTTTTGAGGTACCCTTAAGGTACAATCTGAGTTTGTCTTCACTGACCCAAAATACATACATGTACCTGAACATACCATCTCAGTGTTTTGGACACGTCTCCATGAAGGCTGTTTGATTGTCGATCACTGACAGTCCACGATGTCTCTCTCAGATGAGTGAGATCGTCTCTGATCTAATTACACGGATGATTAAAAAAAACTGCTTCAGGGCTCAGTCACAAACTGATCAGACAGCTGTAGCTCAGAGGTAAACACATCTGAGCTCAGCGTGTTCAGACAAATCTGCATACTTCATACCCGTCTGGCAGGTGCAGTCACACATCTCGCAGTGAATGACGACAGAATAGTTTGAGCGTGAGGAGTGTGTACACAAAGCCAGTAAACACGAGATACTGCGGCCAAAAGAGCCAAGGATTCACCTGTTCCAAATTCTCAGGTGTTTTTTTTTATCTTTTACTATAATCAATTCCAATTTCAGGTATTTGACTGTAAGTTCAATTAAAATGAACGATTTGATCTTGTCTGCTTCAGCTGTAAGAACTGAGATTTTAGATTTATAATTGACACAAATGGAACAAGTGCAGTTCATTTCTTGTATTTCCTAAATAATGTGCTAGGTCGGGACAATCTCCACAGCAGTTCTCCAGAAATTATCCAAATTTTATCCTGAGTGAAAACGGCTCTTGTGATGTCACAGTGGGATTCTGGTAAAAAACAAAAAAAATCCCCTCCCCTCCCCTGGTATCTCCACCTATGGACTCCAACCCCAGACTAAAGCTAAACTTTTACATGTCTGTCATTTTTATTCTCTCTACAGAGGAGTGATGTCTACCGGGGAAAACTCAGGGGGCGGGGCTTATTGCATTTAAAGAGACACACACACCAAAACGGAGCGTTCTGAGAGAGCTGGTTTATACAGGGTCACAAACCTCCTCTGGTGCTTGATTCATGTTATATTTTGAACAAAGCACAGCACAGATGTTTCATTTAGACCACAGGGGACTGTTTGAAAAGGTGGAGGAGGGGGGATAACATGTCCTCTTTAAGTTTATCGGGCTGTTTTTAATACATATTTAAAGAAGTTGGAGACACCGTTACCTCTGAGGATTTGGGCGGGGCTTCCGTTTCCATGGAGACGGATCAAAAAAAAACTGTTCGTTAAAGTTCCATCCTAACGGCTAGGCGAAGAGTTTCGGTCCCGTCTGGAGAAACTCCTCGGTCCCCCGTGGGTCCGGGACGGTGAAGTAGAGAAAAACAAGACAAGACTGAACAGCTACACTTTTTAAATGACTCTAAAAGTCTCCGTTGTTTCCAAAACTTCAAACTTCTTGACGGGCGTAGAGTCCGACCGAGCAGCAGCAGCTTCATGCGGATCTGATTATCAGAGAGACGAACACACACAGATACAAACCACCTATTATGCTGCGTTCAAGTGGGGTCGGATAAATCGGAAAGAGGAACTTCCCAGTTGTAAAATGCACATGAACACCTCCTCAAGTTGTAAACAACTCGGAAAAGAATTGGGTGCCCGACTTGACGTCAGAATAGTCATCACATAAGGGGCTAAATATGTTTTGTTAATGTTAAAATACTTTTTATTCATTCACGTATTGCACATCAACTTTTTCCCCACTCGCAAACTTGGACCACCCGAGCAGCACTTGAATGCAGCATTACACAACGGAGAGGAGATGAGACACAAAGAGGTCTCACTCTGACGGAATTTCCAGTGACCGGACATCCAACATTTCTACACGCAAACTAACAGCAAGACTCGAAACAAGTAAAAGTACAAATTTTACACTTTGGAAAAACTCTGTTAGAAGATTGGATTTATACAATTTAAGGGAAGTGTGTCGATGTTTAAAAGTAGTTTGTGAGAGTTTTGCGTGGACTGTTTTATTATCTCTAAGTGAGTCATTGTTCCAGTCAAAGACGATCACTGCCTGGACTCTCATCAGATTATTCTGTGGCGCCCTCTCATGGTAGAAATACTTCATTACACGAAATGCAATTCAAGTACATTCTTTTTATTTTAATTCATAAAAATGATTAAATCAGTGGTTTTATTTTACTTAAATTTAAAAAAAATAGCTCAATTGAAAATAGGATTTAGGCTAAGCACCAAAAGTTGAAGAAGACCTCAACCTGTCACACCAACTTTAGAGAAATAAGATTTTATTATTATTGTATTAATTAAAGTTATTGATGCATTAAAATGTTTTTCTCTTTAATGTTGCAGCTGGTCAACGTGGAGTTAATCTTCATTACTTAAAATACTTCCATGTAGTAAGTTATACATCTTCACTTTTCATTTTGTATTTATATTGAAATAAAAATTTAGCCGATGCTGATTCCGATACCGATCTTTGTTTCGTAAACTCCCACAATGCCAACATTTTCTCTCATGTTTGACAATAAAAACAGGTCAGAGTTTGTTCAACAGGTCACTTTATCATTTGACCAATAAAAAACCTCTTCTCTGAATCAGTAGTTAAGTGTACTGGATAGTCAGCACTAAATTGATTTGGCACCAACAGGGCCGATATCAGCCAATAGGCTACTGATGTTGAACTGATTCATCTGTGCATCCCTACTTTATATTTGTTGTGTTTCATGTTTGTTTGTTTCAACATTCAGTATAGTGAGAAACAAGCAAAACTAGAGGTCACAATACTTCACCAGCTTCATCATAATGACTCAGTTTGTGCCATTAACATGAGGATGAGGATTAAAGTGGTAAATTGTGGGACCTCTGTCGTGTTCCTGCTGGCTTTAAGGCAGCGATCGTCTGTTAACAGATTCTTCACACATTCATTCACTAACGTATTAACAACGTTTCAACTGTCACGTCTCATAAATATGTTGGTGAAAATGTCTCTAAACGAAGGAACACTACACCAAATCCTCTTACTGAGAAATAAATGTCAAAATAAAAAGTTCTCTATCTCGATATAACACGTCGTCTCGCCCCACTCATCATTATTTACACTCAGGTATGAAGACAAAAGGTTTTAATATCATCCAGGTGACTTTACATGTGTTATTCTAAATCAGCTGATAACTCAGAGTTTATGTAAACGTCTGTAACCTCTCCATTACAGCTCTGAACACTGTTAGAAACTATTACAAATAAAGATTATTTAAAAATAAAGATCCCTCTCAGGTAACACGGTTAATAATGACTCATCAGGTGTTTAAAGTCAGTTTCCTCTGATGACTCGTTTGAGCAGATTGAACATACACTCACGTACACGGTTAATTTTATACCGTTATGATGCCGATCTCTGTTCAGAAATGTCATATTTTAAATGTTTACATCACTGCTCATCAGATTTAGGCTCATACTTGCAGTTTTAAAGTACGGTTTTCATTTTTTAAGACTTTAAATCGGTAATGACGCCAACTTGTCCATTAACCTCCATTCATTCAGATGGAATGATTTCACCCAGAAAGGGGCGGGGCCGGCATCGTTTGGCAAAGTACCCGGATGGGTTGCTCTCATGAATAATATGTGTATAACTGTTTCAGGAGCGCCACACTCACACAGCCCACTGGGATGTTTTCCTATAGAGTGTAAATATTGGTTTAACCCACAGTGACCCAGCCTCAGTCGAGTTATTTTAACTTTCCACAATAACTGACAGACTTCCTAATCAAAGGTTGTGGATTAAAATAATGTCTGCCTCTTTTTTTCCTTCTCCTAAAGTTTCTTTCCACTCCCACTCAAGACCTTCTTTGATTCTACTTCTGTATTCAGTTTTTCAAATGGTACCTTTACATCTATATTAATTAGATTTAAAGCTGATTTTGTAATTGAATACTTCTTCTTCTTCTTCTTCTTCTTCTTCTTTGGCAGCTGACATCAGAAAAGTGTCATTACTGCCATCTGCTGGATTTAAATATCCCTCAACAGACCTGTTCTCAAAAGAGATTTAAACAAGCATCTTCGGCCTCTCCCTCTTTCACCACCCTCCAAAATACTTTTCTCTTCTTACAAGTCCCTCTCTCTCTCCATTTCTGACTTCCTGTTCTGTCTATGTGTTACATACTTCCTACATTTAGTAAGTACATGTTCACCTGCTTCTGCTTGATTGCATACCTCACAAAGAGCAGATGAATGTTTTCCAGTGATATGCAGAGTACTTAACCTGGTCATTACTCCTCTCTTCTGTAGCTCCTCCCCCTCTATTTGACTTCATCTATTTCCTGCTGAACTTCCTGAATACAGAAGCTCAGCGGGTACAAACAGTAGCAGGTTTTATTTTTTTGTTCGCTTGAACGTTTGCAATGAAGACCAGAAGAAAACATTTAGTTCATGTGAGTTTATTCAGGATGTCAAACTTCAGTTTGTTCACACATCAAATCAGTAAAGTGTGTTCAATCATTTCATGAACACATTCACTTCATCCACACAATCACTTTGTTTGATCAGAATCTCCACTCACAGAAAACAATGATTTATCTCCTTATTGATTTAATCAGGAGGATTACATTTTTAAAACACCTCAGAGGACATTTTTACATCACTTTGAATATGAACAACAACATTTATTCTGACTAACTCATTTCTTTAAGTGTGATTTTATAGATTTTCTACAAATGTACAAAGTGGTGAGAAGAGAAAATCAGCATGAAAGAAAAGTTTGCTGCTCTCTCTCTCTCTCTCTCAGACTCCTGAATCAGAACAGAAACAACAGAAAATATAAATGTATGAAAACAAATAATCAAACATGGAGAGCAGAGAGAAGTTGATATTTATCACTCAGAGAAATGTCAGTTCAGGTGAACAAAAGTCATCCTGAGCAGTGAAAGAGTCCACGGCTAAACAGACACAGGAAGGAGTGTCACTTAAAGACACTCAAACATTTACAGAACAGACGAGAAGAGGTCAAAGTACCGCCCATAAAGTTTGATTGACAGGTGACCACGATCAGATCTCAGCAACGAGCGTGGATAAAAATCAAGTTGAAGATTTAAAACACAGCAAGTTAAACATCTGTCTCATTAATGACTTCTGTCTATTTCAGTTTACACAACTCAGCAGAGCCTCCATCACACCAATAAAACCTGAGTCCAGCATGTAGAGGCTGAGTGAATGTGGTCTGGACTCTGTGGAGGAGAGTCATGGTTTCAGAGATGCTGTAGAAGGACAGAATACCTGCTCTGTGATCCAGGTACACTCCTACTCTGGAGGACTGAGGACCTGAGACAGGAGTGCAGACATTGTTGTAATAAAAGTTACAACTGTTGAAGAAATAATCTAACGCCCAAGATTTGTCATTACGTCCAAATCTACACTCATTCGAACTCCCTGCTCTGCTGATATTCTTGTATGTGACTGCTACACAAACTCCTATTCCTCTCTTCTCGACTTCCCAGTAACAACGTCCACTCAGACTCTCTTTACTCAGGACCTGAAGACATTCAGTGAATCTGTCTGGGTGACTAGAATAAGGATAGATCTGACTCGTTAATGTTACTTTTCTGTTCCCATCAGATAATAACAGCTGTGTGTTTACTGTGTTTGGATCCAGTGTGATGTCACATGAATATTTTAAGAACTCAGCTCTGGTCTTGGGCTCTGGTTCTGGTTCTGACAGTAAAACATCCACTTCAGTCACTGTCTGTGAGATGTTTGTCCATTTCTCTCTCAGGACGTCCTGTAGTTTATCTCTGACTTCTGACACAGCCGCTGTCACGTCCTCAAAGTACCTCAGAGGACGGATCTTGATGCTGGATGAGTGTGTAGATTCACTGAGTGGTGACAGTGAGGGGTAGTCGTGTAGAAACTGGTTGTGGTCCTGTGTGTGTGACAGCTTCTTCATCTCAGCGTCTCTCCTCTTCAGCTCAGTGATCTCCTGCTCCAGCTTCTCCTGAAGCTCTCTGACTCGACTCACTTCAGTTTGCTGCTGGGATCTGACCTGCTGCTTCACATCAGAGCGTCTTTTCTCCATGAGACGGATCAGCTCAGTGAACATCTTCTCACTGTTCCCCACTGTTTTATCAGCGGAGCCATTGATAGCCTCCACCTCCTGTTGGAGCAGCTTCACATCTTTCTCTCTGTCCTGGATTCTCTGCTGGATGTTTTGTCGACTCACCTCCAGCTCTCTCTGCTTCTCGCTCCTTTCTGCTGCAGCTGAGACTGTGTCATGACCTTTGTGTTCGTCCACAGAGCAGAGATAACAGATAGACTGCTGATCAGTACGACAGAACATCTTCATCACCTCATCATGACGAGAGCAGACGTTCTCCTGGAGCTTCTTGGAGGGCTCCACCAGCTTGTGTTTCTTAAATGGAGCTGCTTCATAATGAGGCTGGAGGTGTTTCTCACAGTAAGAAGCCAGACACTGCAGACAGGACTTACAGGCTTTCAGTTTTCTCCCGGT